TTGGGAATCAAAAGTCCGTCGAAAAAAAGGTATGTTTATTCAGAGAAAATATATTTATTTCTGATTTCGTAACTTAAAATATCGTCTGCACTAATTAATTAGAAAATTTGAGGTCACCTTTTCGAACCATCAAGATTGAGCCCCAGAGCGTGAAACTCGATCATTAGATCGAAAATTATTCAGGATGATTCGTTTATTTTTTGTACTTTTTTTTTAAATTTCAAATACTTTTATTCAACATTGCAAATAAATATACATTGGAATAATCTAAAACAATTGGGTACTTAAATGAAGAAGATCACTGATACCCACACATGTGACCTATAGCCTCGCTGATTGTTTATAAGCAAAATAACGTGTTAAAGTTTAGCTAAGTTTTTCCAACTAAGTTAGAATGTTAAATAACATGAAGTTAATTAAATACAGCGCCGTATCAGACATCGAATTTGTTGAAATAGAATTCTTTTTCATCAGCGTCTTTTACTTGAATTAGATTTATTACTTGTTGGTGTATTTTATTGTAATCATGATATATTTTTGTTTTGAGTACCTGGCAACTTCGATGCATAATTAGTTTATGTTCTACATGGCTTCATGCCTGTCTGTGTGTTAAGTAAGAAATATATTGTGTAAGAATTGAAATCTTTGTGAAAGAATATATATTGTGAAAGAATNTTAAATCTTCGCCAAGACTGTGCTTAAAATTATAATTATTTAGAATCATTTACACTCAACAATGGCCGGGTTAGACTGGCAGGTAGGGTGTTTGGCCCATGTCCGAGAGGTCGGTAGATCAATATTTGCCAGCCGAAGACTCCCCGTGAATAGAATAGTGATTGGTACACGCTAAATCGGTTCAGGTTACAAAGTACTTCAAGTTCACATAACAAATAATTACCTCTAGGGGTACTGGGTCGGAGATTGATTGTGATCCTGTTCAGGTCAAAATTATGATCTGCGGATAGATAGTGTGTGAATGTGTTCTCCCTGTAAAACGGGATGTGACGTATGTATGTTGTCTCCGGGGATGTTTCCCAGACCGTCTCCAATAGCCCATTGTGCAGCTCTTGAGCGACGTAAATGAAAATACCGTACAGGAACATTAAATAACAAATTTACTTTCTTTGCATGCGCTCAAGCAACTGTTATTTCTAATGGAGGGTTACGGGTCACTGCACGCGATTCGCATATGTGATAGTACATAGATGCGATTCACACAGACACGAGCAATTCATCATACATGTAGTTGCGAAAAATTCCCACGTGCATCTAGAGCTGAGGTTGGCAATCTGCGGTTTTTCTGATGTAAAATTGCGGCTCTCCTGTTCCATACGAAAAAAATTAATAATTATCAAACAAAACCCTTCAAAATAAGAAAATATATTCATAAGTACCTAATTTCTCAGATATCATATACCACAATTTCAAATAATGAATTTTCTCACGAGAGTAGCTTTCACTTAATATAATAAGATCTTTTAAAATGTAAACTTAACAGCATTTGTAGTACATGCGATGGCACCTTTGAAATGCCTCTCATGGTCAGCCAAACAGATATGAAAATCTAATGTATAGACTATTTATTTCTGGATACATCTAAGTAAAAGCATAAATGTCAATGACAAACTGTCATAATAAGTTTAATATTTGACTGCTTGAATTTCGAAAAATTAATGCAGCTGCTATTTTGATAGAGATGGTATATGATGCTATCTTTATAACTTTAAATATGTAATAAATATATTTTCATCGCGAAATGTTTCATAAAGGAAAATTAGTTAATGATTTTAAAGTGAAATTTCCACAGTTATTCTTACAAAAATCGAAAATAACCGTGTGTTAGGTTAAATAAGACTGAAAATACCAAAATCCAGTTGTGAGATTTTTTTTTTTTTACTTAGCTCTAGCTTAAGCATTTATAAGGAAAAGAAGTTATGCCGTTCTTATTAGTGAACATATTGTAAGATATTTTTATACTAGCCGTTTTTGGCGACCAGCTCAGTCACTTTTCAAAATTATCGTGCACAATGTATAAACTTTAATGGTAATCAAGTCAAATGCGCAGCACAACAGTATTTAAATATTTTCATCCTTCAAACATAACTCCATAATTAGTTTCAAACAACATATTAACCAATTTTTTTCACCTTTCAGCTGTTGCCCCAGTGGAAGTATTTTGATTGTAATTTTAACTAAATACTTAACACAGAGAAAACTCTGGAAAAATTACTGTACTGTATGGTTATGACATTTCTGGTAAAAAAAAAAAGATTTTAAAAAAAAATCCTCCCATAATTCTGGTTAATAGTACTAAAATATACAGTATATTTATGTAATTCATCTTGTAATTTTCCCATTCATACGAAAACGATTTACCGGAAATTCTGGTTTTCAAAATTATACTTCTTATTACAACATATTTAGTAAAAAAACAATTAACTGAAAAATAATTTTAAGTGAGTAAATTAATTTTATGCCATGCTCTAAGGTATCACGATAAATTTTCAAATTTTACCACATTTACCAAACTTTATTACATATTATAAAGCGATATTTTATTTATTACATATTATATTTTATCTAAAATCATTACCAAAGTGCATTGGTAAAAATTACAGAGTTTCCTGGTGTTCCCATAGATCCAGAAACACATTTTTCCACCTGGTAGTATTGACCATACTTTATTCTCAGTGAAGAGATGTCTGCGATATTGTCAAAGCTATCTATGCATTAAATTTTCGTAATAATTCAAAATCTTTTCAGCAGCCATTAAATCACAAGGATCAAAATTGTGATGGCACGACTTCGGATAATCCTATTCCTCAGGCCATGGTAAATAGCACATGGCGCACGTCTAGTGCGAGGTAAATAAAGTATTACTCCCTCCTGACAATATTACGGAGTTTATGCTCCTTTAAATATTCTTATACATTCATTTATATATCTGAAATAAATATAAGTAGGTAGGTAGGTATTTTATTTACGTTGCACTTGAGCTGCACAATGGACTACCGACAACGGTCTGGGAAACAGCCCCGAGGATGATTCGAAGACATGCCAACACAATTTTGATCATCTACAGAGAAAATGGCTTCTCCGTTTTGGTAGGCTGACAACCTGCGCGCAAAGTCGAGCCCTTTACGGTTGAGCAATTTAACGAGGACCGATACCGCATACTTTCGGTCCCTATCCCAGAAATCATGTATACATGATACGTTGCAGTAAGGTTATAACCTTACTGCAACATTGTGTCGGAAATTTCTTTTTAATGTCACGAAAATGTTTGTACTAAAAACCTTTTTTCAATAAAGCAAAAATATTGTAGTTTCAAACCTTTCATCTTAAAAGGATTGAAAATTATTTTTAAATCTTTTTTAAAAAAGATTATCACTTAGGTAGCTGAGCATACAAGACGTTGCGAAACGAAACCTTATAATAACCTAGATTTATGATTTTTTTCACCTCAAGAATAGCTTCCTTCAAGGATTTTTTTTTCCACGCTTGAGAACCCTAAGACAACCTCGATTTATAGGTTTTTATACAAAAGGTTGCTTTCCAAAGTTTTGGATTAGTGCAATGTGTGTAGAATAGAGCAGATTGTCACAGATCTCGTTTAAAAGGTTAGAAGGCTTACACGTAAACTGCATAATTTTTTTTATTTTATGTTCACATTAAAAGGTTTCTGCTGAGTGAAAATAAACCTTAGATCGTTATCTGGGTATGTAGGCTGATCAAATTGCTCATCCACCATCTTTCTGACCGCAACCTGTGATGCTGGATTTCGAAGTTCCATTGGGGATCATGTCCTTACAATCAGTCAACTGAGGAACGAAATAAATATAGAGTGAATGAAATTGAAGTCTCCTGATTCGCAGAATTGTTATTCATGAATTGGGACTTTTGCATTGGAGTGAGTTGCAGTTCATTTACGTCACACTAGAGCTACACAATGGGCTATTGGTGACGGTCTGAGAAACATCCCCGAGGATGATCTGAAGATATGCCATCGCAATTTTGATCCTCTGCAGAGGGGATGGCACCCCCGCTTCGGTAGCCCAACGACCTGCACGCAAAGTCGACAACTTTACAGTAGAACAGTTAAGCGAGGACCAATACCGCACATCCTCGGTCCCTATCAGTCTAGCCCAAGTGGTCATCTACCCACACACTGATCGCAGCCAGTGATGCTTGATTTCGGTGATCTGAGACAGCTAGAGAAGGAATTTTCAGCATAAAAGGTCATGCTCACTGAATACAGTTCGCTCTCTTCCGATCACCGCAGAAAAAAGTGGGGAGTTCCACAGTGAACTGATCGTTTAGACACGGTTCCCTGCAGATCACCGAAGTCAAGCAACACTGGCTGCGGACAGTGTGCGGATGAGTGACCATTTGGATTAGTCTGCATAGGGATCGAGGGTGTGCGGTATTGGTCCTCGTTAAACTGTTCTACCGTAAAGTGCTCGATTTCGCGTACAGGTCGTCGAACTACCGAAGCGGGGGTGTCATCTCCTCTGTAGAGGATTAAAATTGCGATGGCAAGTCTTCGGATCATCCTAAAGGATGTTTCCCAGACAATCGCCAATAGCCCATTGTGCAGCTATAGTGCAACGTAAATGAACTACAACTACAACAACAAAAAATAGGGAACCTGATTAGTGAGTATTCCGCAAATCAGGTTTTTTAAAATCGAAAGTGCGGTAACTGTATTCAGTGAGAATGGCCCTGTGATGCAACTGCTTTTAAAAATGTAATGATCTAGACGGTTAAATTAAGTTTAACCGTAAGCTCAACTATTGTTATTTACAAAATGCAATCTTGAGAAATCACCTGACTATGAGAATGAGGAGTTAATGAGAATTATTTCAATTTTTAAAGAAATAAAATTGTTTACTGAAGTAAAATAGGCTCTGCAATATTTAAAACTTAGTTGCCGAAGTTTCTAAATTATGTGAACTTCTATTTAATGATAGAAAATATATTCTTAAGTACNTGTTATTTACAAAATGCAATCTTGAGAAATCACCTGACTATGAGAATGAGGAGTTAATGAGAATTATTTCAATTTTTAAAGAAATAAAATTGTTTACTGAAGTAAAATAGGCTCTGCAATATTTAAAACTTAGTTGCCGAAGTTTCTAAATTATGTGGACTTCTAGTTAATGATAGGTAATTTTTAGCATAATTATTTCTTGTCGAACATCACGAATTGCAAGAGATTTTCTGAAGTAATTTTAATAATGTAAATATACAGTCCTAAGCATCATATGTGTGGACCTTCTAGTAAACAAAATAAAAATTATTTTTCTGGTAGTAAGATAATCAATTATATTTTTCTATTTTAAGGTGTTATATGCATTTATAAAGTTGGTTATAAGACGTTTTATAAGTATTATGTTCGTTAACTTAGTCAATTTGTATTAGACTTAATTAATAATCTGTGTTATCAGATTATTATTTTTATTTGTTAGTTGAATACACGCGTGAAAAAAGATTTCTGATTAATATAGACAAATTTAATTTTTCAGATTCGGTGATTTTTGGATAAATTTTTAATTTAATGATTATTTTTTTATGAGTTAAAAATAAATTATTTATGGAACAAAATATTGTTATTTTTAATAAGTGGTTGGAAAAGAAAAACATTTTAGTAGTATATGAATTTCTTACTTAAAATGAACAAGGTTATGTTTAAATGAATTTTAATGAAATGAGTTAGCACTTTATATAGATTTTCGAAAAATTATCTCTTTTGATAACCAAGTTCCTTTTCTTTTTACTACTTTAAATAAATTTATACCACCTGAACGCAATTATGTTTTGGACAAAAGCATTATTTGGAGCAGCCTTATTTTTCAATTAACATAAATAAAGCGTCTTAAGACTACAGAGAAAGCTAGAAGTCTCTAATTTTTTCTTCAAAATTAATTAAAAAAACTTTAGAAAAGTTTCTTATTGTTATTAAAGTAAAGTACGAAACATTGTTCTGTCATTCCTATAACAGAAACCGACTGAAATAAATTGCAATATTTTTTATAAGGAACAAAGTTGTGAAAATTAACCAATAATTAAATTACTGTGAAGTTTAGCTCTCAAAATAGCTGTGGATACAAAACAAATATTAATCTTATTATTTTCTGATTCTGTAATACAATTCTCGTCATCTTTTACAGACATGGATTCTCCAGATTTAAGTGATTGGGTTGCAGTCAAAGCTGATATATTTTTGCCAGAAAGTGATTCAGACCGTCCTAAATTTATATGTGCCTGGAATGAAGAAGCCTCGAAAGTAGCCATTACACTTCATGAAGGATCTCGTAAAGCAAGTGATCAAAATAAGAAAAACAGAGTATGCTTACTCGCTTTAAAAGAGTTATACCACATACACAAACAATTTTGTTTAATTAGTGCTTCGTTGACAAATTATTTCCCTAAGGAAATTAGGTCGAAGAAGCCTAGCAATAAGCATGATATAATTTCTTCATCTGTTGAGTACTACCTCAGCAGTGCTGTTGATGCTGTTGGTAAAAAACTAGTAATTTCTACTATCTTTGGTGACGAGGACCCTCTTAGTGCCTATGAAGAGAACTGGAATGAATTTAAATTAGAAAATTTAGAGAATTCAGTAAATAAAACATACAAAGATTTAGAAGAAATTCTGACTTTGAGACAGCGGGCAGATTCCTTGCTCCAAATGAAAAGTATTTATGCCCTTGAGGATCAGGTGTGTCAAAATATATCCGATTGTCTTTCTGAGCTGTATAACTTTCATCTGCAGCCTTATTTGGAGCTCAGAGAAATGGCCCATATCCGTGTAAAGCAAGCTAAAGCTAAACTTTGTGAAGAAATTGGACCCACCATTAAAAAAAAAGCTGAAAAGGAGTTTGAAGAATGGACAGAGCAATCTTTAATTGCTACTGAAGCATTACAACAGTTATATCAAGAATTCTATCGTCGAACATTAAACCTTGTTTTAGGTGATAAAACTTTTCTAATTTATTAAAATATGTACTTTTAGTTGATATGGATGGTGTTTTCTACACTAGAGTGCAGTGCAAGCTCTTTAGTTATACTTCAGGATTCGAATATCATTATTAAATGATAAGATAATATATCATAAAATTAATTCCTCAGGTTTTTTTCTTCTTTCATTGAAAACTTTTGTAATGATAAAATAATTTGTGTTGCTTTATACCATAATTTAAATTTAGACCAGCAATTATATCTGTATCAAAAAACTTATGTATTTAAGAAAAAAAAATAGATCAGTGTAAGAAAAGGTATTCTGAAAATTTTTTTTTTAAGATGCTATATTAAGATTATTTCTGTTTATTTATATTTTGAGATTCAGAAAGAAGTTTACAACACTTATATAAAATGTGGTTTTGGAAATTGAATTCTAAACTGGAAATCAGTAGGTTTTTTGTCCCCAATATTTTAATTACTAATTTTTGTCAAATATAAATATGTTTTTATGAAGTGCACTAAATTTTCACTTTTTCTTAGTTTGTATTCTAAAAAATTTATTAGAAGTTATGATGAATTATTTACATTGTTATTTTAACTTTATTGTACACCAAGTATACTTACTATTCCTAAGATCATTTTTCAAATTGCAACTTTTTAACACACCAATACAATAAATTTTATAACCATTAAAATCAATAAAAGCTTTAAAAAAAACCTTATATTAAAATGTTTAAGTTGGTGATTTCTTTGAAATCAAATTCATTTGATTTTAATCAATATATATATATATATGTATATTTAAATAGCTGTTTTAAATCAATAAACTCAGAATTACTCTGTGTGCAAGAAATTTAAAATTGCAACTATTATGTTTAGCTTCAACCTGGGTTGCTAAAATAGTATATTATTTTGCTTAAAAATATATCCAAACACAATGAAATTTATTTTTAGTATCAACTATTTTTATAAAATGTTAGCAATTATTAAAGAGGTCATTCACATTGTTCATTCATTATTTCTGCATTATTTTTAAAGAAATTTGAGAAATTTTATTTCATTATTTTTAAGATTTAGGTACATAGTAAACATGTTAACGAGATAGCTATGTCCTGAATAAAATTTTAATTAGATTTTTTACATTGCAGTTGTTGTACAAAAAGTTGGCAGTAACTGAATTACGTTTAACTATAATTTATGTTATCTATTTTTAAAATATTCAATTGTAGAAAATTTTCCCTTTTTAAAACTCATTGATATATAACAATGTAATACAATTAGATGACTATAATAATGCAAATAGATTCATTTGTCTAATTAAATATGATCAAGTATAATTAATAAGCTTTTAAGTGTGTTACTTATTTTGATGGAAGTTTATCCTAGTTGCAACAAATAATAAATTTCAATTTTTAAAATGAATGTCTTTGGTTATGATGAATTAATAGTTAAACAGATTTTAATAAAAAATTATTATTTTAATCTAATATTCATTATTCATTCAAATATGAATAAATTTATTGAAAAAGGGAATATTGTTCATTTATTGTGCCAAAAATTGTATACAAAATTGACAAAATTTGCAAGATTAACTGTTCTGTAGGTAAAAAACTAGTAATGTTGATCGACAGTAGTTTTCAATTTTCACTGTGGCTGGTGCATTGCAAATGATTGAAATCTTTAAACTATTTCTGATCTAAAATATTTAGTTTGAAAATATGGAGGCCACATAGCAGAATATGTGCATGAGATCCTCCAAGAGCTGGCTCTATTCTAAATATTCACTGTGTTTCTTTCTTTTCTTCTTTTTCTTAAAAAGAAAAAACACCTTGTGTTATCGTTTTATCTAATTTGGCCTAAATTATGTAATTCAGCTCTTGCAGTTTTTATTATTGTAGTATTTTAAATTAAGAATTTTATTATTTCTTAAAATAAAAATTCTACTTTTGATATTTTTAAACAGAGTTGTTTTTCTTTAAAACTAATTTATTTTGATTAAAATATTTCAGGCCAGCGTGATCGCATGGTTATTGACAAAAAGAAATATGGCAGGGTTGCCTTTGGGCTACATGGTATGCCTCGTCTAATGAAACTGGAAGTTCAAGTTTGCCAAGAAGATTTGAAATTACAAAATGCCATGAAAGCTATTAAAGAGTATCAAAGAGATAAAATCAAAAGTCAGGTTTGTTCCTTTTTCTGTACATCTTTATTTACTTGTCCCTAGTCTTACAACATGTTGAAATTTTGTTTTTATTTTTAATATAAACATTTGTTTTAGCACCTGTACTTTTACTCACATTTAGCACTTTTTTTTGCCAAATACTTTAAATTTTTCTCTTGAAATATTTTTATATGTTTAAAATTCCCATTTTTCTGCAAAAAATTTGAATTAAACTTCCATTAAATTCATATATGTATATATTTTTTGGTGTATCATTTTTAATAAGTGCTTATTTTCAATTTTCGTTTTTTAAAAACCCTTAATGATGCTTTTTTCATGTTTTTTTTTGTTTTGTTTTTTAAGTGCTTAATTCTAATAAAATCTAATCTTCGAAAAATCTTAAAATCTAATTTTTGAAAAGGGAATGTCGATTTTCTCTGTATATTATGTAAAAGCGTGCTCTTCACATTGTTCTATTTAGTATTTTCGCAATTCATTCAACCATCATCTATTTCGGTGTACCGTCGGTCGTTAGAATATGAAAGCACCAATCATTTTACATGTTTGATGAAATACTCACAAGTTCGCATGCGCATCTACTAAACTAGGTTTGGTGAGATTATTGCACTATCATGTGCAACTCTACTGCATTTTGCAAGTTATTGTCTACTTCGGGCTTCATTTTCCACCCTCTGAAATCGAACCGAAAAATCTTTCTACCTTCTGAAATCAGAAAAATAAAATAATAATGATAAATAAAAATCTCTCTATTTATGGTGGCTAATATAATCAGGAAAAGAGTTTTTTTTGTCAGAAACTAGTTATTTTTATCATGATCATGTAAAGTCTTTGAAAATTATTTTGCATTTTGTTAATGTATATAGTACTTAAAAATATTTTTTAGTGCTTAAAAAGTACTTAAAAGGTGCTTATTTTTTGTTAAAAGATTTGGCTACGCACCCTGATGTATAATNATATATATATATATAATTTTCTAACATATTTTTAATATATATGTATCTATGTATACAGGATGATAATACTCATCCAGATGAGCAATATACATGACACTACAATAAAGGAAGAGACACTTTCAGTTTTTGACATTTTTTTAAATTTCTCAGGAAATATTTAAGGGATTATTTTGTAACTTTAGTGGACTTTAGTTCTTGTGATTTTTCATACTTAGCAATATGATTTAATGTTTTCAGAGGTTTAGGAGAACTTGAATAAATTATGAAAGAAGACAAGTCTTTTTGAATACCCTATGCCAAAAAAGTCTAGCAATAAGCTTGTTACTTGTATCGATTACTTTAGCTGTTATTTTTAATAACTGCATTAAGTGCTGGAATAGTTGCCTTTAATAGGCTTATTAACTTACAAAAGCTTTAATAAGCTTTTTAAACTTAAAGCGGAGAATGCTAAGCAAGCGTATTGAAAAACTCATCTTTGAACTTACAAAGAACTTTTATTTAGCAAGAAAAAAATATATAATGTAGTTTAAACATTGCATGACTTTTTAAAAAGAAAACACAATCCACGAGAGTATTTTACTCTACACAACAAAACACATCTAAAGTCGCTCCATACATTCTTATATATAAATCTAATCTGGATCTGTCTTATATATACAAACATATATTTAACATAGAATCAAAAAGATTTGCCTAAGGAGGGTGAAAGAAAAAGTAATAATACACTTTCTATTAATATGTAAATTTATCTTTAAATTTTTTTTAAATGTTAGATATAAATTTAAAAATAAAGAAATAAAAAGTCCAGAAAAGAATGAAACTTCCCTTTCTGAATCAATTTAGTCTTTCTCCCTCTTCCAGTGGTTTTTCAAACTTGTGATTTCTGACTCGCTTGTTTCTTGAAATTCTTTAGTCTTTCATAAAGTTCCATAAACCTAGAGTAAATGTTTATGGGAATATGGACATTTTTATAAAAAATTAATTTTTTCGCCTTACATTATTTTTGCTATAACTTTAGAAATATTCAATGTATTTAAACAAAAATTTTTGGAGCAATTTAGAACAAACTACAAAATAATTACTACTTAATTTAAAATATTAAATTTTTTTTTTTGAAAACTGTGCAAGATATGAGTATTTAAGATAGTTCTTTTATACTGCGCATGCAAAGAAAAAATTTTAAAAAGTTTTTTCATAATTTTGTTGTGAATTGTATTTGACCTTTTCCCCTTTCTATAAAAAATACTTTTTTCAACTTAATGTTCATCAGGAGTTTCTGTGTTCTTTCTCAATATTTTTGAGAAATGTCAATAGCCTTTCTGAATGATACATGCAGAAATATGCAAGTTTCAAAAACTAATGTATTATTAACATTATAAGAATATAATTTTTGACGGGACTGTTAAAACAAGATCATACATGCGGAAATGGTGAATCGATGTTCAATTGTGGTAGCTTTTTTGTTACATTTTAAGATAAGAATTAATTTTTTTTTTTAAAATTACAGTTGGCATATGTGAGTTATAACATTGGAGCGGTAAATGAATTACAGTGAATTGCCGTCGGTCCTTACTGTATGAAGGCACCAATCATTTTACATGTTTAATGAAATGCTTGCGGGTCCATGTGTCATGTGCAACTCTGCTGTATTTTGCAAGATATTTTCAATTTCAGGATTCAATTTCCGATATCGAACCGAAAAATCTTGATCTTTTGATGGTGGATAATATAATCAAGATAAAGAATTGTCAGAAACTAGTTATTTTATCATGATCATGTAAAATCTTAAAAAATTATTTTGCATTTTGTTAATGTATATGGTGCTTGAAAATATTTTTTGAGTGCTTAAAAAGTACTTAAAAGGTGCTTATTTTTTGTTGAAAGATTTTACTATGCACCCTGAAAGAGGCCAAGTCAGGACTTCCAAAAAAGCGAGTTCTTTCTAAATCATCTATCATTCATCAGGAGTTTCTGTGTTCCTTCTCAATATTTTTTAAAAATGTCAGTAGCATTTCTGAATGATACATGCAGAAATATGCAAGTTTCAAAAACTAATATATTATTAACATTATAAGAATAAAATTTTTGACGGGACTGTTGAAACAAGATGATACATGCGGAAATAGGGAATCAATGTTCGATTGCGGTAGTTTTTATTGTTGCATATTTTTAAGATAAGAATTGAACTCTTTTTAAATTACAGTTGGCGTATGTGAGTTATGGTGTTGGAGCGGTAAATGAATTACAGCGAATTGCTGAAGAGATCACCAATGCGCAAATAAGTGTCTTAGACTCTCACTTAGAGGTTTTAGAAGCTGAAGAACGTCTGTACAAAAGTCAACTAGCTGTCATCAATAAAGAGTATAAAGGTATGATTAGAAATCTCTCTTACAGACCTGCCAACTCTCCTGCTTTTAGTAGGAGTCTACTGCTTTTACCTAAAATCTTCGCCCTCCTGCTTTTTTCTATTTAGTGCACGATAGAGGGGGAAAAAAGCGATCATCCGCACTTAGGATACAACCCCCGTTTTTCCTTTGCCTCTTCACATTTTATGAAATCATGATTACGTCATCTGACGCGGTCAGAATCAAAAAATTGATTCAGATTTAGTGATGGTACCAAAACTAAGGAAATTGTTAATACTTTATGCACTGGTGACCAACAGATTTTTTATTCTGTTGTCAGAAATTTTGTTATATGTTGCAATTATATCTTTCAAAAATGTCCCTTCAAAAATGAAATTTTAACTAATGCTGAAGTAGTTAATTTAGAAAATATTTCCAATGCTTCTTTTTCTAGTATTAAGTTTTTAATTGATAATTATCCTGTGTTGGTAAAGGTTTTAGATCCAAAATGATACTCATTCATATCTTGATACTCTGGAATCACAATTCTGTGCTCTTCAATGTGATGCAAGTTCTCAAATGTCATTATCTACTGATAGGATAGACATGAAGTGGTCAAAAGTAGGTTCTCTAAAGGGAAATGCTTACTCTGTGTTAGCTAAGTTTATGCATGCTGTGTTAACTATTCCACACAGCAATGCAACACGTGAAAGAATATTTAGCCATGTTACCAAGATACAAACTCATTTTCGATCTTCATTAAATACGCAAAACTTAGGAAACTTGATGACAATTAAGGAAGATCAAAAAGAGTTATGCTTCCAAAGAGATTTTGATAATAATTTTTGAAATAGTGCTAAATCAGCAACATCTGCACGTTTAAAACAGTAGCAGATAAAAAAAAAAAGAGGATGAAATGTATAAAGTATTGTACTCATTATTGACATATTTTGTTAATTTTGAACCTCTTCCTAAATTTTAAAAAATCAAAAGATGTGTTTTAATATAATTCTAAAGAACCTTTTATTTTATAGTAAGAACACATATCCTTATTAGTCAGTGTCAGAATCTTATTGTGATCTATTATTGTAAATAATATATTTTGAAATAAACTTCTTGTAGGAAATTTGAATCAGGTTTGATTTTCAATATTGCGCTATGTCGTGATGCAGAAAGGGTCTCCTGCTTTTTTATTTTCTGAGGTTGGCAGGTCTGCTCTTATTTCTCATATTATGTTTTAAAAACGTTTTTTCATTATTATTGAAAATTTATTTCTAAATGTTTTTTACTGCGATATAATTATATAAATGAGCTATTTTTATATAGTGTTTGAATGCTATAGTACCTTTGATAATATTTTGAGGTCATTGGGGGTAACCCCTATGAACGACCAACCTCCATTAATGACCATTTTGCTGTGGAACAGAGATTGATTGCTCCCGAGAGGTTTCACTGTATTGCTATCAAAAGCACAAACTATATGTATACATATAATGAGTTTTACATTTTATTATTTTTAAGTTTTTTTTATAGGTTGCACTTACAATTTATTATTTTGTATTTAGATTCTTTAGAGAATGGCGTATTTTTTGATGCTGTGGAAAATCCAGATGAGTTAGAAGATGTTAATAGTGAGACACCAAGTCCAAATCCTAAAGTTTTCAAGTTGAAACAGAAGTTATATAAAATATATCGGAAGCGAGCTCAAATACGAAATAAAAGGGTAGGGTTTCAACAATATCTTCTATTTTTAATGTGTGTATCACTAATATTGGTTTTACCTTTTTGATTTTTATAAATATTGTAATGTTGAAATATTTAACAATAATCTAAAATTTTTATTTGGAGAAAAGTGAATATTCAGAACCCTGGAATTTGGCAAAAAACCATAATTTAGAATACCAGTTGAAAGCCAAAACATCTCATCTAATTCAAGGTTCCCACTCCACAATAAGAACAAGAAAAATACGGGAATTTAAAAATCACCTAAAATAAATAGGGAAAATATGAGTTATTCCTTGCAAACTGGGGAAATACAAGGAATTTTTATATATACGAGTGGCAACCCTGTAATTACTAAATTATATACTGTTTCTCTTTTGACAGCTGGTATAAGAAGAATATTTTCTGATTTTATATTAGTTCAGTTCAAACTGAATAGTTTCAGTTACATTTAAATATTTCAATTATAAGATATAGACATCTGATATTTTAAATTATTAGTTTCATGAAATTGTCATGATACTTGATTAAATTTATATTTTCCTTTTTAGCGAGTAACAAAAATGAATTTTATTTAATATCTCTGAATCTTAGTTTTGTTAGCTAATATTTTATTTCATAAAAATTTTGTTAATTACAAAAGAAAGATTAAATCATCAAGTGAACATATAATTATTTATTCATGAAATGGGAATGTATATTGTATATATTGGTTGATCATGATACGTTCATTCATACATAATTATTAATTAAATTTAATGAGCATTTCTGCTTGTTCATTAAAATCATAAATTATGAGAATTAGAAATCTCATATTTATATTTAATCTATATATATGTTTGCGTGTAAAATATACTTGAAAAAACTCATTATCTTCAGTCCAAATGTCTTATCATAGAGAAGAAGAAAAAACAATAAAGCCCACTTATCCCGGGGAAAAAAAAATTTCATGAGAAAACCCGCATAGACTGAGTTTTTTCTTTAAAACCCAGGTTTTTTGAAGAGGATAAAGACAGAATCACTATGATTGCTCGTCTGCTGCCCAGTGTCCAATTTTTAAGGCATTTGTTTAAATTTGTAATTAGAATTATTAATTAAATTTGTAATCAAAGTATTATGGGGTAATAATAAAAAGGGTATTTAACAGAAATCCCATCTTTTAACTGCCACTTTCTTTAAAAGTGATTAAAAATTAAAGATCTTGTTAAATCTAAGAGTAAGTTAAAATTTAAATGAAATCAAAAATATAACTGTTTGAAAAATTTGTTATTGGGAGACAAACACATGCTTATAGGGAAAAATTCAAATTGATGAATGATCTGAAGTTGAAAGATTCTAAATTATTCTTTGACAGTGATTCTAAATTTTCAGTGGGTAATTGCAGAATACTTGGATTTGTTAGATAAGTCTATAACCAACATCAGGTCAAACTATATTTTATAATAAAATTATTTTCACTTATTACTTTTTTGCAGAAAGCTATTTTAGCTGACTTTAAGAAGAAAAAAGCTGTAAAAGCTGCAGAATTGGAGAAGAATGAGAAAGCTGCAATTCTGGTATGTGTTAAATGTCTTTTATATCGGTTTTGTTTACCTTTGATTGTCAATCACTATTTCTTTATGTTTCTTTAATTTTTGTTTATTTTGTAAGGCTCGCAAAAGACAAGAAGGCAAAGCAAAGGAACTACCTAAGGACAAATTGGCTTCTGAAAGAAAAAAGACACTTCAAAGATTAAAAGAATACAAGAAAGTAATATATAAAATTTGTTTTGTTATTTATTTGCATGTGTTTGAAATTTTTTTTTTATATACATATAGATATACAGTGAACTTTCACGACTACGATATTCAATACAACAATAACTCCCTTTATTACGATAATATTACGTGGTCCTGTCAAACTTGCATATGAATTAATTGTCATGCGTCACAGGAAGCAAATTCAATAGGATCTAACAACATATTTATACAACAGGACCCTGTTACAGATAAAGATCTTTTTATCTGTAACAGGGATTGCTTATTTGCTTCATTTTTAATTTAAAACATTTTTTTTTTTAAAAGAAAAAATATTTAAAGGATTAAAAAATTAAAATGTCTGCCTAAAATTTCGGCTCATAATTGAAAAATTTATTTTTAGAGCGACGCATAAACGAAGGATGTTTATCATTATTTTTCTAATTTACAATATATTTATTTGGTCCCCAAAATATTGTTGTAGCAAGATTTTACTGTATATATATAATTGTTTGTGTATATAAAATTTAATCCAATTAGTTTATATCCAAATAAGGACCCAATCATTTAGGTCTTTGAATCAGCGTACTCATTAAACCTAGATTGGCAGAGATTATCAAAAATAAAAGCTGTTACAAGCAATAATGAATTAAAAAATGTTAAATTATGTTTTCTTGTCATTGGTATTCTTTTACACCGAAAGGAAAAAACTTTTCTGGAAACCCTTTAGCTTTGTTTGTGATTTAACTCTGGGTCTTTCTTTAATAATTTCTGAAAGTACAAAACTTAGAAATGCTAATGAAAGTACATGAGAAATAAGAAGTAGATTCTGTTAAGTAGTTTGTATTGCAACATTTTTTGTTAATTATTGCAATAGCCATTTGCTATATTTTATCTATTCATTTCCTTGTCTATTGCTCGGTTACTGAACCGCTCATGCAATTCATTTCAAGACAGAGAAGATACCTCATTTTTTTTACTCATAATTGTTTAGATAGATTGTTTTTTTTTTTAAAAATCCTTTCAAAAAATGAGTGGTCAAGTTTAATAAAATAAGTTTTAAAATTTTAAAGAAGTTTATTCAAAATTCCTTGTTAAATTTAATTTATATTCCAAAGAACTGTATGATTTTTTTTAACATTATGCCAACCATTTTTTTTTTTTTATTTGAAAAAATTTTTCCTTGATCTGAGATCTTTAACAAGTTCAACTGTTTTATTTATTTTTATTCTTAAATTTGACATATTTTTGCAACCTCTTTCTTTTCTTTTTGCATTTAATTTTAAATTAACCTATCAATGCCAGCTGCTTTCATGCCTGTCAATGCTTTTTAGGGATCACTTTAAAAGTGTATTTTAATGTCGCCACAATTTTTTTTGTTAATTTTGTGTTTCATTTTTAATTTGTTTCAGATTGTGCTTAAAAATAAATTGCTGCACAAAGTAAACATTTATATCATAATGTTGTTTATTTTTAAATTCGAGTCAAAAATAGTTTTGGTGTTGTCAAAAATACTTGTTTTCTACAAACTTGCTTTCTACAAATATTTTTAGTAATTATAAATGTAAAAGATAATCTTTTTTTTTTTGCATTTTGTTGAATATAAGAAACACTAAATTAATTAGTTAAAAAAAGTATATTTATACATTCTTAATTAAGATTTTTAGGCAAGTAAAGCAATCTTGCTAGATTAGCTGCTCTAATGCTCTAAAAATACTTAAATTTACAGTCTAAAACAGTGACTGCAGAAGTATCTCAAAAGTGAGTGGGGCTCTCCTCCCCTCTCTGTTTATATATATATATATATATAAACCAGGATACATATAATAAATGTATATATTATTGACCAGGTCCGAATTATCTGAACCTAACAAAAAAACGGTAATGTCTCAGGGTATAGAGTGTGCGTCTTTCAACGAGGTGAACTGAGTTCGAATTGCGCACCCGACTCGCACCGACCACAGTGCTGACGTAACATATACTCAGTGGTAGACAGATCATGGGTTAGAGTCCTCTTGCTAATGATCAGGCTAACAGTTGAAGGTTTTCGTGGTTTCTCTCTCCATGTAACACAAATGCGGATAGGTTCCATCAAAAAGTTTTTCATAAAGGCAAATTTATCCCAATACTTCTTTCAGGAGTTCCCTTGTCTTCTGTATTGGGTTAAAACTACAAGGCTACAAGGTTGAACATTGGTTGTCGTAAACCGAAAAATAGGGTTGGCTGTTCAATGACGGTTATAAAATAAAATTTAATTACACAAATATCAAGTGAAAAATTACAATGTTAGAAAGGGGCTGTGTCCCATCATGTATAAAATGTGAGGGGGCTAAAGTCTGCTCTGCCCCCCTCCCCCGGTTCTGCAGTTCTAGTCTAAAATGTGCTTTTTTTTACATTTTCTTTTTACATGTGTACCATAGTTGTGTAGCTTATAATTTTGGTTCTATATCTTAACAACTTCCTTTTTTTGTGTTTTAGAAAGCTCTGCTTCTAGAGACTAAAAATCCTGATTCTGAAGATGATGTGGAAAGTTTAATAGACTCATCATCCTCGTTGACTCCAAATGTTGCCCTGAAAAATGTTTCTCGCAAAAAAACAGTAAAATCAGCTGCTAGTGTGAATCCTTCCACTGAAGGAGGCAATAGTAATCAGAAAAAAGCCTTAGAATCTTCTACTTCAACTCCTTCGGCTACTAACTTAGAGTCTTCTTCTTCAAATCGTTCAGCTACAAACTTACGTCCTCCTGTACCACCTGATATAGCTCCTCCTTCTGTACCACCTCCTCCTCCTTCTGTACCACCTCCTCCTCCTCCACCACCACCTCCTCCTCCTCCTCCACCGCCTCTTTTAATACCACCCCCTCCTCCACCTCCACCACTCCCTCCAATTACTATTACTTCAGCTCAGCTTAAGCCAATTCCCTCTACCTCGTCGGAAAAACCTGCCAAACCACAAAGCCTTAATTTGGCAGATATTTCGCAAGATACTATTGCTGGTCAACTAAAAAGCTTAAAAAAACTTGAACTTTCGGATGTAAAAAAGACCACTACTCAGACTTTCAGTTTAAATGAAATCCTAGATATTCGAAGCAAATTAAAAGCTCCACCGCCAGGTATTTATTTTTTTATTTTTTCGATTTTTATTTCTTTAGATCTAAACATTCATCAAAGGTTCTCAAATTACAGTATCAGTAATTTATCTTTGGTTCATTTGTGGTTCATCCTTGTACTCACTGTACATTTTGAGGCTATTTTCATATGGTATTCTTATATTTTCTCTTCTAAGTATAATAGAAATTTAAACAGTCAATATCTTAGGTGATTGAATATTCGGGATCTTTTGGTGATTGAATATTCGGGATCTTTTGGTGATTGAATATCCAATCAATATCTTAGGTGATGAATATATGATATGCATTTCTCGTGTTCTGTAGATAGTCTATGGTATTTTAATGTAAAATTGTGAACTTTTTTTATTTATGACAATAATAATTAATATTATGCTATTAAAACTATCATGCATTCACTGAAGGCCATATATATATATGTAAGTTAAAAATATAGAGAAAATATGTAAAATAATAAAGATTAATGAAAAGAGAAGAAGAAAAATTTTTAAAATAAAATATTTTTAAGAAAGAAATCTAAAAAAAGAATAAAAAATTTATATTAAAAAGCCGGAAAACCTTAGAATGAAGAGATATAATCTCTTCATCACCTCCTCCTTATCAGCTCACACGATTATATCCGCAGAAAGGAGTGCTTTCTAATATATCAATTTAGTAAAACAAAATATATCAGTACAATAGTGTGAGGAGCCCTAAAATAAATTGAAACAAAATAGAACACACATATATATATATATATAATTAAGCTAATTGTTTATCTTAATTTTTTTCATGTTTTTTTCTTTTTGTATTTATATATTTTGATATATATGTAAATGTATGTATATACCTTGTGGCAGAAATTGTTCAGGCTTTCTGTGATAAAATTCTCTAGCACTATAATCTTTCTTCCAGATACTTTTAAAAATAACAAATATGCATGTTACTAATTTAAAACTTTTGGGATCAAATTAAATAATTTTTTTAATTGAATATGTAATATTTTTTTATTCTGTTATTATGAAAAATATTCTTTTACTTTGCTGGTAGAAATCACAGTAATATTTTTTCGCATTTTGTAAATCATCACATTAAAAAAATAAAATAAATTTTTTTTAAATCCGTAGCAGTAATTACCGAGAAAAAAAAAAGATCATAGGCAAAATCACGCGAGCAATCAAACTCTTCAAAATAGGGTTACTTAATGCATGTTTTATTTTGAGATTCAGTTGTTGTAATAATATTGTATAAAAATATTAGGTTTTATAAGGTTTGTAGAAGCCGCATAAAAAAATGGAACGTAAATTTCTGCAGAAAAGAGAATTAATTTTTTTACTTCATTATTCTCAAATAAGAATAGAAAAATCACAAGTATTTTTTTCCGCTCGATGAGCAAGAAAGGCATCTTTTGAACATAACTCTTAAGAAAAGATAAAATCTTTAAAAAATTTCTGCAGAAGAGAAAATCTTTCTGCAAAAACTTGGTAACGTTCTGCGACAATGTCGTCGTGTGGCCACAATTCTGCCACGGGGTGTGTATATATATGTATATGTATCTATATGTATATCTATACATATAACGTCATTGCCGAGTAGAAGGATTAAAACAGGTCTTAGGCCGGGAAGGAGGGTACAAAATTTATTTACTAATTATTAGTCAGAACAGTCATGAGAGTATGTAAAAGTGAACACGAAAAGTTGCGCTCCTTGGTTATATGTTAGGGAAAATCTTGCAAAGTAAAATCCGTAAAATGTCTCAATTTAGGGAAAGAGGGAAATCTTAGTAGTTGCTATTGGTTTATCAAATAGATTGAGCATTTTCCACAGAGTGCAAAGGGAAAAATGTCCTGCTTTTACATTAATGCATACTTGATCCAAATATAGATTTAAGAACAGGATGTCGCTTTTTAGAGTGTGAGAAAGTATTTCGCTTAGAATAATTAATTAGGATAACATAAAAATATTAATTGAAGCTTTTTATGTTACATATATATGTATATGTATGTATATTGTATGTATGCATGTACATATATTAATTAATGTAAGTTTAAAATACCAATTTCCAAATTTATTATATCTTAAAGGTACAAATATTAAAAAAAAATGAAATAAATTAGATTTTACTAATTGATCATTTAGTTAAAAAGGCTATTAAACACAAAACTGAATATCCAAAAAAACAATAATTTTTTGATATAAATGATCGATCATATGTTTCTGTAAGTTAATATTTAACTAAATATTAAAAATTGAAATTAATAATTGTTAATTTTATAATTTTTTATTTGTTTTACCCCTTAACTTAAAAGCCTAAGCTAACTCAGTACGAGATAATAGTTACATACATTATGTAATCATTTAATGCTGGAGACGATCTGAATTTATTCGAATCTAAGATCTAAGTCACCTTCTTATTTAAGTGAAATAATTTTTCAGTTAATATTTATAAATGTTAGAAATTTAATATAATAAATGCTGTATTTAGTTATTAGTTCCTAGAAATATTAATTAGTTGCTACCAATGAGTTTTATGCTTGTTTAAAAATCGTGATTGAAAGTTTCTGTTCCGAACAAAGTTTTCTAGTGCGATAGTTATTTATTTGATTTAAATGGGAATAATTTCATTTAATTTGCTTTCTTATTAATCATAAAAGGAATTAGAAAGGTCTTTTGACTGAGGTGATAAAACAAGTTAAAATACTAAAATTTCCTCTTTGTATTCTGTTAGTAATTATTATGGGGTCTCACAGTGGACTGATCATAAAGAGACGGTTCCCAGAACACCGAAGTCAAGCATCACTGGCTGCGATCAGTAAGCGAGTGGATAACCGCATTGATCAGCCCGTGAAGGGACCTAGGGTGTACAGTATCGGTCCTTGTTAAACTGTTCTACCGTAAAGTGCTCGACTTCGCATACAGATTGTTGGGCTAGTAAAACAAGGGCGCCATCCCCTCTGCTGAGGATCAAAATTTAGATGCTATGTCTTCAGATCATCCTCAGGGATGTTTCCAGGACCGTTGCCAATAGCTCATCATGTAGCTCTAGTGCAACATAAATAAAGTACCTGTTAAATATTATGAATTATTATATTAATGAATTTCTACAAACAATTATGCTTGTCAAAAATTGAAAATTAAAGGTTTCTATAAGAATCTAAAATAAGTTTTCTGCAAGTATTTTAGTGTTACAGTTATTTATTTGATTAAAAGAGGATTTATATTCAAATTTTTTTAAGTGATAAAAAAAATTGGCAATATCTTTTCCCCAAACTGTAAAACTAGTTAAAATACTAAAATTGACATTCTCATTTGTATTCAGTTATCAGTTCCTAATAATATTAAAGAATTGCTGCAAACAAGTATAACTCTTGTCTATAAATCACAAATTAAAAGTTTCTGTAAGAAATTAAAATAAGATTTTTATGATTATTCTAATCAGGGTTGGGTTTTTGACGTCAAAAAGTGGTTTTTGACATGACAAGGGTATAATACTGGTTTAAACCGTCAAAAACCCGTCAAAAATNCATTAAAAAGGGAATAAGTTAATTAAATATATTCATACCTTTTATAAGTGATAAAAATAAAATTATAAATGTTTTTTGATTGTACTGTAAAACTAGTTAAAATACTAAAATTTAAATTTACTTTTGTTATCAATTCCTAACATTATTAATGAATTGCTACAAAAATATTGTGCTTGTCTGAAAATCACAAATTAAAGGTTTCTGTAAGAAATTGAAACAATTTGGAGGTTTGCATGCAGTCTCTATCACAATAATTGGTTTATTTGAATAAAAATGAATTTTGTTATTTTTATTTGCATATTTTTGTAAGAGGAAAAATTAGAATTATTTACAAGTTTCGGCTGAACTGTAAAAGGAGGGACAATAAAGTTGACATTCTCATTTGCCATAGTTTTATACACTATTTATAGCTATTCAATCTCTCTTTAGGAAATATATTCTTGCTTTTCTGATAATGGTTTTAATTTTTACTTAACAATTTGATTTTATAATGGTCTAAGATACAAGTTTCCTTTTTTCTTTAAATATAGTAGATTTGTTAAATCCTGGCAGGCTAATTCTCTCACTAACTACCTTTGCCTTCAGTGAAAATGAAACTAAATTAGTTTTCAATATTGTCAGTTCTTATTATTTAAAATATAATGAAATCTTGTTATTATGTACTTACTTATCCTTTGTACTCCTTATCTTTCATTTGTGTTACTTGTCCTGTGAGACGCTCCTTAAGTTAGTCTCAAGTCCTCATTATTATATGCTCTAATAGTTTAAAATTAATTGTTTTGAGTCTAGTAAATGCAGTGGAATGACAATTAATTATCCCTTTTGAATAATAATAGTGAAAATTTTAAAATCATTGATCATTAACTGAAATTCTTATTTAAAAGTGTCTAGGTGATTTTAATTTGCAATAACACGATTTGTTATTATATATTTTGTTATTTTACAAGTATTCAAGATATCTGGACTGCTTTACCATGTTTTAATTGTTAATATTTAGTAATTTACCATTTTCTTGCATTAACAAAAGTGTAGTAATGCAATAAATGTTTAAACATAGATTGCTCTTTTAATCCTTTGAGATCTGAGAAATTTTGAATAAATAATTTTATTAAAAACCTTAGTTATTAGCAGCTGAAATTATCAAAAGTGCTTTTTAAATAAATGCATTTTTTATATATATATTATAGGCTTTTATTTACTTTTTGTTGTTTTCTCTTCTGTGCATTCATTGCAGCTTTTCACAAATTTTTAGCTTATTGCTTTTCTGATATAAAAACAGATTTATTCTGTTGTTGATCAATGTTCAATGATAAAATATGTATTTGGAACATTTCTGTATAATTGCGTCTAAGAGCAAATAATTTAAAGTAAAGATATATTATAAGCACTTGAAGTTTGTTGGCAAATAATTTTACTTTTCTAGTCATCCATATTGTTATTGTAAATAAGTGTGTTCAAACTCTGCATGTTGTCTGGCAAAATATAAAATGAACTATAATATATTTAGAGATTAAATGAACTATTTAAATTGAAAATTTATTTTGTTACCTTGTTAGTTTTTTCCTAACTCATTTGTATATAAATGTACGTTGTGTTAATTTTTTAAAATTATTGCATCAGTGGTGTCAAAAACTGTGGAATCGTGCCAATGTGAGTAGAAAATTACAATTTTATTTTGTATCTTTTTTCCAAGAAAAGGAAATAAAAATATGTTAAATACTCATTGTGTTTGTCTAAGTTTATCCTGACTCCTATATTTTACAACTATCTCCTGTTTACCCGTATATTCTCGAATTTCCTCGTATTTGTTGAAGAAATTTTAAGGAAAAATTTTTGGCAATAAAATATCTGCTGATGGCAAAAATACATCTCTTATTCCTCAGCAGATGGTATTCTCTGTGGTAGATGGATCATGGGTTAGAGTCCCCTATCGTCTTGCTAACCATGGGAGGTCCTCACCATGTAACGCA